TAAAATAAAATATAAAATAAAATATAAAATAAAATAAAATAAATAAAATTAAATAATTAAAATAAATAAAATAAAATAAAATAAAGTAAAATATTTCAGCGCAGGGCGCCTGGGTGGCTCAGTCGGGACTCTTGATTTCAGTTCAAGTCATAATTTCAGTCATGACACTGAGCCCCATCAAGCTCCACATGGAGCCTGCTCAAGATTCTCTCTCACCCTCTTGCTCTGCCCCTCCCCCTCCAAATTTTTTTCTTAAAAAAATAATAAATTTTTTCCAAAAAATAAATAAATAATAAATAAAATAGGGCGCCTGGGTGGCTCAGTCGTTAAGCGTCTGCCTTCGGCTCAGGTCATGATCCCAGGGTCCTGGGATCGAGTCCCACATCGGGCTCCCTGCTCCTCCCTCTCCCACTCCCCCTGCTTGTGTTCCTGCTCTCGCTGTGTCTCTCTCTGTCAAACAAATAAATAAAATCTTTAAAAAATAATAATAATAAATAAAATAATTTCACGGCACTGACAACATATTTCTAGAATGTCCTAAAAGTCAAGAGTAATTAACAAAACTTTATCATCTCATACCTAAATATGGGCTTCAAAAAACTTATTTTTTAAGTATTTCCTAAAAATCAAACTCTGTAAGAATTAAAATGATTGCATTAGTCACTGACCACATCAAAACGAAACATGCAGAAAACACTTACTTGTTTTAAAAACTGCTTTCCGAGATAAGATGTAGCCATGTTGGTTAAATTCTTCCTGCTGCCCACTTTGCACCTGATGTAACCATATAGGTTGGCACCTTGTAGCACCACACCCATGATAACCACTGCCTGGGAAAGAAAAAATAATCACTGGTTACTGGCCTAAAACTGAAAGACCTTTTTCCATGCAACAAACAAACAAACAAAGCAGACTGTCATGGAAAAGAGAAGGAAAAGGAAGCTCATGGGTGGGGCTTGTGCCAATGAGACTCCTTAACTTGGCAGAACAGACCCATCCAATGCCTGCTTAGCATAAGGCTATATACCAGTCCCCATGCTAGCCCCTGGGGATGCAGTGGAGGGACCATTTTCTCTCTCTAGTATTTTCCATGGGTCTCCAAATAAAGATAAAAAAAAATAAATGAGATTCAGAAGAGGCTCAAATGTTAATTATTCCCTTAACAATTATGAAAGAAAAGGGCTGCCTGGGTGGCTCAGTCACTTAAGCATTTGCCTTAGGCTCAGGTCATAATCCCAGGTGTCTGGGATGGAGCCCCGCATCGGGCTCCCTGCTCAGCAGAGAGTCTGCTTCTCCTCCTGCTCATGCTCTCTCTCTATCAAATAAATAAAATCTTTAAAAAAAAAAAGAATGGTCAAGAGATCAAGCTCAGTAAACCGAGAGCATGCAGAGAAGAATCTGCTCTATGCTAGTGTGTGTGTGTGTGTGTGTGTGTGTGTGTCTGTCTGTCTGTCTGTCTGTGTGTATGAGAGAGACAATCGGCTTCTGGGAAAAGAGCCACAAGGGCAAGGCAGCAATCAACAGGTGTTTGCCTCCTGTGAAGAACAGGGTGCAGGGGAAGCACTAGGAGGAAATGCACTTTGGCAGAGTGGCTTCTTCCTTGTGGCCACATCTGGGAACCTCCAGGTGATCCCACTAAGAACATTAAAGACTGAGAATCAGAAACTCAAGCCTACTCTTTAAATATAAGGGAAGAAAAGTTAATTAGGACAATGTAAGGAGGTCCCATGGTTACTCTAGAACAGGGGTTGGCAGTTTTTCTGTTAAAGGCCAGATAAATATTTTAGGCTTTGTGGGCCATGTGATCTCTGTTGCAAACACTCAGCTCTGCCATTCAAGCCCCAAAGCCCCACAGACAATATGTAAAGAAACAGGAAAGGCTGGGTCCCAATAAAAAGTTACAAAAGCAGGTGTTGGGCTAGATTTGGCCCACAGGCCATAGTTTGCCAATCCCTGCTCTAGAATAAACAACTTATCAACCCATCTGCTGTTAAAAGAATTACCCTGGAAATGTTTCTATCCCTAAAAAGCAACACAGCTAAACAGAGTATTTCTCTCCAATCCAGACTTACTCTCCTTAACCCTTAACAAGCTGTGCAGCTGATTTTAAGGAAGTTAAAGGGTTTGAATGTTTAATTAAGGAATAGATACAAATTCTTAGTAAAAGTGGAATTGTACTTGCTGTTTCAAACTTGTGTTTCACAGAAATAAACACATCAGAATTATACAAGGTTGTTGGTTACCTAAATAAACATAAAACTATATTTTTACTGAAATAAATCTCTTTCAACTTCTCCTGCTTCTCAAACTGGGACACTCCTAACATGCCAGGGACCACCTGAATTCACAGACTGAACATGGGTCCCGCAACAAATTTTAAAATCTATTTATAAGTTAAAACAAGCAGACATCTGGTTTAAGATGGTGTAGTGAAACCAGACATCAATATCTCTCTCTCCCTAATATAGAATAGATTTTTAAAATACACAGACTTAAAAGAGGTTTAAAAAAATAGGCTAAAAAAAAGGCAAATGAGTTGGTACTAGTAAACATTTTTAAAAAAGCGGGG